AAGATTTCTCAGGAGGCAGGTCAGGTAGTCTGGTATTCCCATCTCTTTCAGAATTTTCCACAGTTTATTGTGATCCACATAGTCAAAGGCTTTGGTGTAGTCAATAAAGCAGAAGTAGATGTTTTTCTGGAACTCTCTTGCTTTTTCGATGATCCTACGGATTTTGGCAATTTGATCTCTGGTTCCTCTGCCTTTTCTAAATGCTTAAACATCTGGAAGTTCACAGTTCGCGTACTGTTGAAGGCTGGCTTGAAGAATTTTGAGTATTACTTTGCTAGCGTGTGAGATGAGTGCAATTGTGTGGTAGTTTGAACATTCTTTGGCATTGCCTGTCTTTGGGATTGGAATGAAAACTGACCTTTTCCAGTCCTGTGGCCACTGCTGCGTTTTCCAAATTTGCTGGCATACTGAGTGCAGCACTTTCACAGCATCATCTTTTAGGATGTGAAATAGCTCAACTGGAATTCCATCACCTCCACTAGCTTTGTTTGTAGTGATGCTTGCTAATGTCCACTTAACTTTGCACTCCAGGATATCTGGCTGTAGGTGAGTGATCACACCATCGTGGTTATCCAGGTCATGAAGATCTTTTTTGTATAGTTCTTCTCTGTATTCTTGCCACCTCCTCTTAATATCTTCCGCTTCTGTTAGGTCCATACCATTTCTGTCCTTTATTGTGCCCATCTTTGCATGAAATGTTCCCTTGGTATCTCTAACTTTTTTGAAGAGATCTCTAGTCTTTCCCATTCTATTATTTTCCACTATTTCTTTGCACTGATCGCTGAGGAAGGGTTTCTTATCTCTCCCTGCTATTCTTTGGAACTCTGCATTCAGAGTGGGATTATTTTTCCTTTTCTCCTTTGCCTTTCACTTCTTTTCTTTTCTCAGCTATTTGTAAGGCCTCCTCAGACAACCATTTTGCCTTTTTGCATTTCTTTTTTTTGATCCCTGCCTCTGTACAATATCATGAACCTCCACCCACAGTTCTTCAGGCACTCTATCAGATCTAATCCCTTGAATCTTTCTGAATTTCACTGTATAATCAATCGTAAGGCACTGGATTTGAGTCATACCTTAATAGTCTAGTGCTTTTCTCTACTTTCTTCAATTTAAGCCTGAATTTTGCAACAAATAGTTCATGATCTGAGCCACAGTCAGCTCCCAGTCTTGTTTTTGCTGACTGTATAGAGCTTCTCCATCTTTGACTACAAAGAATATAATCAACCTGATTTCAGTATTGACCATCTGATGATGTCCATGTGTAGAGTCATCTCTTGTATTGTTGGAAGAGGGTGTTTGTTATGACCAGTGTGTTCTCTTGGCAAAACTCTGTTAGCCTTTGCCCTGCTTCATTTTGTACTCCAAGGCCATATTTGCCTGTTACTCCAGGTATCTCTTGACTTCCTACTTTTGCATTCCAGTCACCTATGATGAAAAGGACATCTATTTTGGGTGCTAGTTCTAGAAGGTCTTGTAGGTCTTCATAGAACCATTCAACTTCAGCTTTTTGGGCATTAGTGGCTGGATCATAGACTTGGATTACTGTGATACTGAATGGTTTGCCTTGGAAACGAACAGAGAGCATTGTGTCATTTTTGAGACTGCACCCAAGTACTGCATTTTGGACTCTTTTGTTGACTGTGAGGGCTACTCCATTTCTTTGAAGGGATTCTTGCCCAGTAGTAGATATAATGGTCATCTGAATTAAATTTTCCCATTCCAGTCCATTTTATGTTATGTTAAAATGTACTAAAATGCTGCCATAATTAAAACTATGCCTTTGTTATAAGAGGCACACAAATCAACAGAACTGTACGGAGAGTCAGAAATAAACACCAATAAGGAATAAAAAGGGAAAAATTTAAATAATAAGGAAATTGCCAACAAATAGTGTAGGAACAGCTTGGTAGGCACTCAGGGGAAAAAATTAGTTTTCCCTACATCTTTCCTTACCCCAAAATAAATGTTAGATGGATATAAGCATCACATGTAAAAAGTAAATGTAATCCTAAGTAGAAAATACAAGGACATATCTTAAAGTCTTAGAGTAGGGAAGGGTTTTCTAAGCCAGACACAAAACTCCACACACCTTAATGAAAGCTTTCAGTTGGACTATATGAAATTTTTTAATTTCTGAAAATCAGAAGCATACACAAACTCAAGACCACATCCATACATACACCTATGCCCACAATCGTACACTCTCAGACCTCACTCCATCCTCAATAGAGCATAAAGTAAATGAAAGACAAAATGGGTCAAATCATTCATTATAGGTATGACAAGAGCCTAATCTGTCTAACATTAACATGCACAGAAGTGCACCCACATCAACAAGACAAACAGGAAGACAGGAGGCACAAAGAAGACCAGCAGCCTGGGACTCCGCTTTCCGTGCACCACCACTTTCCCCCACTGCCCCGCAGGACTGAGGGGCGGGTAGCGCGGCCTGCAGTGGCCACACATAGGTGGGGACAGCTAGCAGAGCCTGTGGAGTGTTTCCTACAAGCCTGAATGGTCGCACTCTGTGATGGGATCGTCCACCTTCCAATACCCGTCTACAGAAGCCCACAGTGTCATAAAAAAACACATATGTCGTCCTCACTTCAGCAGCACATATACTAAAATTGGAATGATACAGAGAAGATTAGCATGGCCCCTGCGCAAGGATGACATGCAAATTCGTGAAGCGTTCCATATTTTTGCTCCATGGCCCTCCATCATCAGGGGACCATTCCCCCACCACCACCTCTTCCTTCACAGTATTTAAGAAATAAAAAGTCAGATTTTCCTGGTCAAAAAAAAAAAAACCACACAAAACACATGTCAATCAGGGATCTGGTTAGATTTGAAAAAACAAGCACTGGAAAAAAGTGGTAGCCAGGTAAGTACAGATTACCTGGACTTGACTGGTTTCGAAGGTCTCCACCTGCAGCCCCTGCCCCAGGCCAGGAGGTCTGTGGAGCTGACTGACCTGTGAGCACAGTGCTGATGGCAAAGCCAGGTGAAACCACCACAGAAGAAGGGGGCATACAGACAGGGGAGGGCCCAGGAGGTCCCCTGCGTCCCATGGGAAGCACCTTAGAGGCACCATCTCCTCAATCTGCATGGCCAAGTAGGTCCAAGAGGGGCACACTGTGAGCAGCTGGTCAGCAGTGGGGCAGGACTCCACCAGGACTGGCTCCCACACTCCCCTCCATACCTGCCCACCTGCCCACCCTGATGCTCCTGGCACATGGCACAGGGCAGAGCCATCAGGGCCTTCCCTCCCTGCACTGGACACACTGTGGGCCAGTGAGGAAGCAGCTGCCCCCTCCCCCATGCTCACCAGTAGTCAGCATTGAGTCAATGACATTTAGTAAATGCCCACCAGGTACAGCCCCTGGCCTGAAAAACGCCTACTTGTATTTCAACTGCCACATGGGCTGACAAACCTAACAGTGGTATAGGACCACTTCACTGAGTTGGATGGGGCTCAAAATGGGGTGTGGGAGACCAAGGAGGGTCACATACCTCCCAGCCCAGAGGCAACAGGAACTGGAGGTAGGTGTGTGAGGGGAGACTAGGAAGTCAGGAGGCCCAGGGGGGATCACAAGATCGCCCCACCAGGCCCAGGGTCTTTCCCTCCCAGCACAGGAGCCAGAGCAGGAACCAACTTCCAGTTACCAACAAGAACCGGGGCAGATGACCTGGAAAACACAGTCCACAGCTCACTGCTCACAGCTCCTGGAGAGCACTGATTCTCAATGTAAGCCACACCAGCGGTGTCACCCCACAGAAGTGGTTGGCCCTCCAGCTCCGTGAGGAAAGCACACGTCTCAAGACGCCCAGCAGCCAGCATCCCTTGAACAATAGCAGGGACTCTCCTGGAGTGCCTGCCTCAAGAAGGTCAAGTAACTCTGCTCCATGAAAGGGCTCACGCAATCTGGGCTGCTCACTGGCGCCTCGATGGACCCTGGGTCTGAACTAAGCACAGATACCTGCCTCTAGGCATAGGCGGCAGCTATGAGCTCCAGGGAGCAAGCAAGCACCCCAGGGTTCCACCTCTGATCTACTGGGGCCCTCAGCAGGCAGTCGTGGTGGAGTAAGATGCACCAACAACAATCCACATCAGCCTGGACACTGATTTCAAGGTAACCAAGACAGCTCAACTTTGTCATTCCACTCTGGCAACAAAGAGAGACCTGAGGCACGTGCTCACTTGAGTCGTGGCGGCCAAAAGCCCTGTTGACACTGGCATTCCCAGGCCCTCTGGCTGTCAGGATCAGAAGGGTGACCACATCACAATCCTGCACCACTCAAGTGTCCCACCAGATGATTCCCACATAGGTCTCCTGGGGCCCAGGGCCTGCTGGCCATCTCCACCTGGACCATCATCACCACAAACCCAACAGCTCCAACACCACTGTCACCCGACCCCTCCCCGACCCACACCTCACTTGCCTCTTCTGTGTCATCATGCACTTAGCTCTCAGGTCGGAAGCAGCATCACCCCCTTCCTGTTCCTCCACCTCCGTCCCCACACCCTACAGTGACTCACCTTCTTCACCTCTACCACCTCCCTTTCCAAAGTGGTCCCCTCAAGCCAGCCTCCACCCCAACCCTGACTGGCCCCGCAGCAGACAGCCACTCCAGCTAACAGTGCCACAACAGTCCCCTCTGCCCCCTACAACCCTTTGTGCCTCATCGCCCTTGAGCTTTCCAGTCCACCCCTACCCTACCCCGCTGGGCTGGCAAAGGGGCACCTCTGTAAAGTGTGCAGATGGGAACCGCCATGCCCACAGTGCCCTCTTATCAGGCCCTAGGGTTGCACCGCAGCTGAGTTGGCGCTACAGAAAACGGGAACCCAAAATTGGGCCTAAGAGTCCAGGGACTGGTGGCCAGCCGTGGCCGAGCACCTCTGAGCTCTCACCCGGATTTAGAGCGGAATTTCCCGCAGCCTCTCCAGCTTCACGCCTACAGGGCATGACCAGTAACCCTCGAGACTGAGAACACATTACCTCCCGGCTCTGGACCGCCTCCTCCTCTCACGCCAGAGAGAAAGCAGAAAGAATACAATGGTCCCCGCGCTTTGGGGCCCTCGGGTTTAAGATGAGTTTCCCACAGAGGATCCTCGTTCTTCCCCTGGGGAAGCAAGGAGGTGGACCACAGGCCTCCGAAAAGCGACAAACTGAACGCCCCTCAGGGCGGGGCCAGGCACGGGGGCCGAGCACCCCGAGTCCCACCTTGGGAGGGGCCGGGCACAGAGAACGCGCTCCGCAAGCTGGGCGAGGAAGAAAGTGAGCGGCTGGGCTCCCAGGCCGCTCTTCCGGGTTGTGACGCGGCAAATCCTGCTCCGCGCGGGGCAGGGCGCACCTGAGCCCAGGGAAGAGGGCGGGCTCGGCCCCGCGAAGCCCGGGACCGTCCCTGCGCTCGCCTGGTGACCTTGGAGAGGCGCCCCCTGACTCGGTTTCCCGCGGCGGCCTGGCCAAGGGGGGCGACCCGAAGTTCTGCGGCCTAGGCTTCCCCGAGGGGCACCTCCCCGGGTGACCGCGGCCGGCCCTGACCCCCGGGACCTGTCCGCCCTTTACCTGAGGAGCCGCCGCAGCCGTGGCCGGGGCACCGCCCTCCCGGCAGCCGCTGACCGGAGTGGGCGGGGCCACGAGACGAGCCCGCCCCCTACCAACCGCGGCCCGGCGCGCGGTAACTTGGCCCCGCCCCCAAGCGATCTCTGCGCTCATTGGTCGAGAGAGCATGTCTCTCTCTCTCTCTCTCTCTCTCTCTTCCCCACCCCCCCGCCCCCCGCCCCGAACCCTAGAGAGCAGGAGTGCGCAAACTCCGCCTCGCGCTCGGCACCAACCCCCGGCCGCCTTGTGACCACATCTGACTGTTGGGCGCCAGTCTGGCCGCCCTATGGGCCTCAAGGGATGTGGCAGGTTACTGTGTAGGTGAGGGACCGGGCCCGCTTGCCACTCCTCTCTGTGACCCCGCCCGACTCACCACGGTGATCCTGTCACACAGACACAGACCCACATACCCTGAGATACCTGGGGCACCAATGTACCCAAGCCAGTCCCTTTGCAAACACATACCTGTCCAGGTACACACGCCAGGTGGGCTAGACCTGGACACACACAGGAGCTGTCATGCCCTATATCTCTCACACATGAACACCCAACAAATACCCCAGAGAGCCCAGAGCCACAGGCCCCTCTGCACACAGGTACACTCCTGCACACACGAGGCACACATCTCGTCTGCCAATAGACCCTGGGAATCAAAATGTGAAGGCACGGATAAAACCAGAGCAGAGCACAGGGAAAAGGTTCTCAGACCTAAGTGGTACCAATGCTTTCTTAGGCCACTCTTCTGAGGCACTAGAAGTAAAACCAAAACTAGACAAAGGGGACTAAATCAAACTCACAAGGTTTTGCACAGCAAAGGAAACCATAAACGAAACAAAGTGACAATCTAAAGAATGGGAGAAAATACTTGCAAATGATGTGACCAACAAGTTTTATTTACAAAATACACAAACAGGTCGTAGAACTGAGTGTGTGTGTGTGTGTGTGTGTGTATACATATATATATATATATATATATATATATACAGTGTATATATATATATAGTGTGTGTATATATATATACAGTGTATATATACAGTGTATATATATATATATATATACACTGTATATATATAAATATATATGTATATAAATGGGCAAAGGCACTATGGAGAACAGTATGGAGGTTCCTTTAAAAACTAAAACTAGAGCTACCATATGACCCTGCAATCCCATTCCTGAGCATATATCCGGAGAAAAACATGATCTAAAAGGATATTTTAGTGTTTATTGCAGCACTGTTTACAATAACCAAGACATGGACACAACCTAAATATCCATCGAGAGGGAATGGAAAAAGATATGGTACATATATACTGTGGAATATTACTCAACCATTAAAAAGAATGAAATCATGCCATTTGCAGCAACATGGATGGATCTAGAGAGTGTCATACTGAGTGAAGTAAGTCAGACAGAGAAGGAGAAATATTGTATGACATCCCTTGTATGTGGAATCTAAGAAGAAATGATACAAATGAACTTATAAAACAGAAAGAGACTCATAGACTTAGAAAACAAACTTATGGTTGCCAGTGGGGAAGGGAGAGTTAGGAACTTTGGGAAGGTCATGTATACACTGCTATATTTAAAATGGATAACCAACAAGAACCTATTGTATAGCACATGGAACTTTGCTCAATATTATATGTCAGCCTGCATGGGAGGTGGGTTTGGGGGACAACGTATGTATCTGGCTGAGTCTCTTCTCTGGTCACCTGAAACTCATTTCATTTCAGCCACTCAGTCATGTCTGGCTCTTTGTGACCCCATGGACTGCAGCACGCCAGGCTTCCTTGTCCATCACCAACTCCTGGAGCTTGCTCAAATTCATGTCCATTGAGTCGGTGATGCCATCCAACCATCTCATCCTCTGTTGCCCCCTTCTCCTCCTGCCTTCAATCTTTCCCAGCATCAGGGTTTTTCCAATGAGTCAGTTCTTCCCATCAGGTGGCCCAGGTATTGGAGTTTCAGCTTCAGCATCAGTCCTTCCAATGCATATTCAGGACTGATTTCTTTTACGATGGACTGTTTGGATCTGCTTGCAGTCCAAGGGACTCTCAACAGTCTTCTCCAACACCACAGTTCAGAAGCATTGATTCTTTGGTGCTCAGCTTTCTTTATAGTCCAACTCTCACATCCATACATTACTACTGGAAAAACCATAGCTTTGACTAGACTGGCCTTTGTCGGCAAAGTAATGTCTCTGCTTTTTAATATGCTGTCTAGGTTGGTCATAGCATTTCTTCCAAGGAGCAAGCGTCTTTTAATTTCATGGCTGCAGTCACCATCTGCAGTGATTTTGGAGCCCCCCAAAATAAAGTCTGTCACTGTTTCCACTGTTTCCCCATCTATTTGCCATGAAGTGATGGGACCAGATGCCATGATCTTAGTTTTCTGAATGTTGAGTTTTAAGCCAACTTTTTCACTCTCCTCTTTCATTTTCATCAAAAGACTCTTTAGTTCTTCGCTTTCTGCCAGAAGGGTGGTGTCATCTGCATATCTGAGGTTATTGATATTTCTCCTGACAATCTTGATCACTTAAAAATGCTGTTACTGTAATGGAAAAAGTTGACATTCAGTAGCAGTTTCCTATCTTATCTCAGAAATCATCTAAAATGTCATAACTTTGAAGAGCAAAGCATTCTATTGATGTTGCTTGGCTCCGAGGCATTGATTACTTATTTTCAGTTGAAATGATACTGTCCATCATGAGAGTGAGCAAGAGGAACTAACAGAAGGGAGCAGTGAAGGCATGTGGAGGTCCCCGTGACCCCGACTTCCACTGGGGTCTTGTAGTTCTGCCACTCTGTGGGCCCAAGGGAGACAGAGGGCCTGTCCTGTTAACCACTTTTTCTCCAGAACTTAGTGTAGCACCTGGCGTAGACTAAGAGCTGAGTTTGTTGAATGAATGAATGGAGAGAATGAAAAAAACCAAATAGAAAAGACATTCTGGAAGCAGCTGCAAGAATAAGCAAGTCACATACTCAATTGCATTTTATGTTTTTTTTGTTTGTTTGTTTGCTTGGTTGGTTGCTTGGGTTTCAAAGGCTGAGAAATATAGGGAAAAGCTCACCAGACTCTAGTCTTTTGGCTTTGTTTTTATTTATTTACCTTTATTTATTTATTTCTGGCTGGGCTGGGTCTTTGTTGCTATGTGAATTTTTACCTAGTTGTAGCAAGGAGGGGCTCTTCTGTTGCGGGGTACAGGCTTCTCATTGCAGTGGCTTCTCTTGTTGTGGAGCACAGTCTCTAGAGCATTTGGGCTTTAGTAGTTGCAGCATCTGGGCTCAGTAGTTGTGGCTCCTGGGCTCCAGAGCACAGGCTCAATAGTTGTGGCACACAGACTTAGTTGCTCCACGGCACGTGGGATCCTACCCAACCAGGGATCGAACCCATGTCTTCTGCTTTGGCAGGCAGGTTCTTTATCACTGAGCCTTGAGGGAAGCCCCCAGACTCTAGCCTTCGCGTGGTGGTTGTTTGTGATGTAGATGGAGTGAGGGCATCCTTTCTCTATCCTAGCATTTCTTTTTTTTAATTAATTTTAAAAATTTTCTTGACTTTTTGAATTTATTTTTTATTCTAGCACTTCTCATGTTGTGTCTTGAATGTCACCGTCAGTCACCACTTTGTCCCCTTGTTGCTGCTGTTCTATGCTGCTCAGAGATACCCAGCATTGGTGGACATTTAGATGATGTACATTTTTATTAAGCACTTCTAATATTCCTTTTTTTTTTTTAATATTCCTGTTCAGTAGATTCTGTGAGGCAAGATTTGCTGGTTCATGCCTGTTGCACTTTTTAAAGATGTTTCATGTTTTCTGTTTTCCAGAAAAGTTTTGCCTATTTACATGCTCACCATGGGCATAAGTGAATAGTTATGAAAATAAGATAACACTTTGAAATTATTGGAGCAGAGTTTCAAGTAACTAAAAACTACTTGTAAGCTCACAAAAATTTTGAGGATGAGGGATTCTTTTTATTTTATATTCTCTACCATACAGTTAACTGATGAGTTGTAATCTTTCTTTTTTTTAAAAAAAAAAAGAAATTTATTTATTTGGCTGTGCCAGGTCTTAGTCATGACATGTAAACTCTTAGTTGCAACACATGGGATCTCATTCCCTGACTAGGGATTGAACCTGGGCCCCCTGCATTGGGAATGTGAAGTCTTAGCCAGTGGACCACCAGGGAAGTCCCTATAATTGATCTCTTGAGTCAGGAAGCCTCTTTTATCCTCTTCCCCTTTACCTCAGGCATATATCCAGGGGATTTCAGAGGAAGAAAAAGTAGCCCTTTTCTATGAGGATATGCTGATTTCTGTGTTTACTTAGATACATGGTGAAAGCTTAATAGGTATTAAACTTGTTCTTGTGGTTCAGCTTTCAACTACTAACACTATAGAAATAAAGAAAAAAAAAGTAAGAAAACTAAAGGCTGACATTAAGGCAAGAAGAGAGTACCTCTAGAAGGAAGTGGGAAACCAGGTTGTTCAGAGAAAGAAGGAAGGACACACCACCAATGGCAAATTGGTCTAGTGTGTAATTCTGAAAGAGATGGGAATACCAGACCACCTGACCTGCCTCCTGAGAAATCTGTATGCAGGTCAAGAAGCAACAGTTAGAACTGGACATGGAAGAATGGACTGGTTTCAAATTGGGAAAGGAGTACATCAAGGCTATATACTGTCATCCTGCTTACTTAACTTATATGCAGAGTAAACCTGAAACTATCACAACATGAATTGGCTATACACCAGTACAAAATAAAAAGTTTAAAGTCTGGGGAAAAAACATGAACAGAAGACCTAAACAGACATTTCTCCAAAGAAGATATACAGATGGCCAATAGGCACATGAAAAGATGCTGAACATCACTAATTATTGAAAGAAAAGTGAAAGTGAAGTTGCTCAGTCGTGTCTGACTCTTTGCAACCCATGGACTGTAGCCTACCAGGCTCCTCAGTCTATGGAATTTTCCAGGTAAGAGTACTGGAGTGGATTGCCGTTTCCTTCTCCAGGGGTTCTCCAGGGGATCTTCCCAACGCAGGAATCGAACCCGGGTCTCCCGCACTGCGGGCAGATGCTTTACCATCTGAGCTACCAGGGAAGCCCAAGAAATGCAGATCGAAACTTTAATAAGGTACCACACCACTCAGGATAGCCATCACTAAACACTCTAGGGACTTCCCTGGTGGTCAGGTGGTTAAAGATCTGCCTTGCAACACAAGAAACATGGGTTCAGTCCCTGGTTGGGGAACTAAGATCCCACATGCTGCAGAGTTACAGAGCCCACAGTGAAGATCCCACATGCTGCAACCAAGACCCAAGTCAGCAAAATGAATAAATTTTTTAAAAAGTCTACAAATAACAAATGCTGGAGAGGGTGTGGAGAAAAGGGAACTCTCCTCCACTGTTAGTGGGAATGCAAATTGGTGCAGCCAGTATGGAAAACAGTAAGGGGTTCCTCAAAAAACTAAAAATAGAGTTGTATGATCCAGCAGTCCCATTCTAAGGCATATATCTGGAGAAAAGTATAATTTGAAAAGATACATGTACCCCAGGACTATTTACAATAGCCAATACATTGAAACAGCATAAATATCCATTGACAGATGAATGGATAAAGATGTGGTACATATGTACAATGAAATACTACTGAGCAATAAAAAAGAATGAAATAACATAATTTGCAGTAACATGGATGGACCTAGAGATTACTATACTAAGTGAAATAAGTCAGAAAGATAGTCAGAAAGTAAGTCATAAATACCATATGATATCACTATATGTGGAACCTAAGATATGACATAAATGAACTTATCTATGAAACAGAAACAAACTCACAGACATAGAGAACAGACATGAGGCTGCCAAAGGGGAGGGGTTGAGTGGGCGTTTAGGATTAACAGATGCAAACTATTGCATATAGAGTGGATAAGCAGCAAGATCCTACTGTATAGCAGAGGAAACTATATTCAATATCCTTTAATAAACTGTAATGGAAAAGAATATAAATATATATGTATAACTAATCACAGTGCTATACACCAGAAACTAATACAACATTGTAAATCAACTATACTTCAATAAAATATAAAACACTTAAAAAAATAAAAAATCCTTTATTGGTCTTTAATAAAAGATTGAAATAAAAAAAAGCAAGTATATGCATTTGGGACCTTGGGATCTGGAGAGGGAGACAGAGAACAAGCAAGTCAATGATTCATAAGTTGCACAAAGTGCTGTGAAGAACTGCAGCTGGGGGCTGAGAAAGAGAGAAGCTGGGAGAGGAGCCCAGGTTCTGGACAGACACACGGGCCCCCCCAGAGTCCAGGAAGCTGAAATCACCTGGGTGTGCCCACAGACCAAAATGAAAGGAGCAAGTGGTGTTCCAGAAGCTCAGGAAAGGAAGAGTGATTGGAGAAGAAAGGGCCAGTCAGCAACAGTACATCCACAGCATAAACAACTTCTCTGCATCTCACTGGGTCCGCAGGGATCTGTGGGCAGGGGTGTGAGGAGGCAAAGTGGCCTCAGTTTAAACGTGCAGGCAGGTTGGTCACTGGACAGTACAGCAGGGATGTGGGGATTCTTTTTTCACAGAGAGAAGGGCTGCAGCCTGCTTCTGTCTTAAGGATAGAATGCAGAGAGCGGGACAGAACTCTTGTAGACGGCTGGTACAGCGTGCTGCTCCGCAGATGGGGACTGGCCCGCAAGAAACAGCTACCACCCCTCAGGTACTGCATAGGCAGGAAGGGGGGCGGTTATTCAGAGCCCATGGAAGTTGCCAGAGGGAGGCTCATACCTGGATGGCTCACTCTCCGGTCGATGTCCCCCATGGCCAGGGTCCAGGACACCCCACTGGTCCTGACCTCCCCAAGCTCAGCTGAACTTTTTCACTCCCAAGCATACACACACGCTGCCCTGGCACAGATCACAGCATCATTCAACTTTTGTTAAATTATTAAGGCCAGGGACTTCCCTGGGTGGGCATCCAGTGATTAAGACTGTTTCCACTGCAGGGGGCGTAAATTCTATCCCTGGTTGGGGAACTAACACCCTGCATGCCGCGAGGCCCCTCCCCCTCAAAAAAAGAGTATTAAGGGCAGTCTCTCTTCTGTAACAGTAAGCTCTGTGAGAAAGGCCCGTGCCTGTGACTGGCTCCCAAGGGCTTGGCAGCAAGTCCAGCACAGGGGGGTGCTCAGCAATGCTCTGAGATAGATGGATGACCCTGGGTGCAGAGAAAGAGGCTGAGCAGAGCCGGGGAGCACTCGGGACCCTGCCTGTCACCTATCTGAGCAACAGTCACTGGCTTCCAGTTGTGTTCTTCAATGAGGGGGAGCCAGGGAGGTGGTGTAGGCTCCCCGCATCTCCAGCCCATGTAACACCTTCGTAACCATCACGAGTTAAATTCTCTCCCCTTGAAACACCCAGTTTCTCTCTTCCTAACCCCCATGGAGCAACAAACCAGCTGATCTGTCCATATTTTCTATCCTGTAGGCAATTTGCCAGACAAGGGCTGTGGGTGAGCCAGGGTATATCAGACACAAGCCTTGTCCTCAAGCGGCCCACAGTCCAACAAGGAGGAGAAAATGTCTCCACAGTTCACTTCCAGGCTTTCCAAGGCATTCCCTGCAGAGGAAGTACTGGTCCACAGACACTATGCTGTCCAACCCACAGAAGAGAGACCATGAACTTGGCCCTTACTTGTTTTGTCTGTAAAGGGGGCGTCACTCGGTGATGTTCACATTTGAAATCCTGGGTGTGGACTGCCTACCACAGGACAGGCACTTTGGTGTGCACAGAAGCAGGATTGTGGGAGGTGGTGGTTGCAGCTTCGAACAGTGCCCACAGGCAGCAGGCAACACAGCTCCTCCCCAAGTAAAGCGCTCACAGAGCACTGCAGGGGCCAGGAGAAGGGAGAGGCATGCTGGCTCACCTCTTTGAGGTGGCCCAGGGCTTTTCATTTGCTTGGGGATATGTCATCAAGTGTGTAGAGCGCTCTGGGGGAATGGCCTCCCGCAGCAGGCCTCAGCAGAGGAAGGTTGGGTGACTTCAGGAATTCCCTGGCAGTCCAGTGGTTAGGACTTGTGCTTTCACTGCTGGGTCTGAGTTCAGTTCCTGGTTGGAGAACTAGGATCCCCCATGCCGTGCAGCATAGCCAAAACCAAAAAAAGGCTGTTTGTGGGCCTTGGGGTTCTCACCCCATGGAGTGGGCCTCACACAGGGCAGGGCTGGTTCCAGCAAGATGTTCTCAGGCAAGCAATGCCTGGGGAATAGGATGACACCCCTTTGAGGGCACAATGCAGGCACAGCTCTAGAACCTTCCATTCTAGAATCTGCCCCTGCTTTCCCAGAGCCTGTCCAACCCCGTGCCAGTCCATGGGTGTGTGGCTGTGTTAGCCTCCCTTCCCATCTCTGCTCCTGTCCCAGAGAGGCTTCAGAAACTTGGCTGCAGCCTTGAGGGCCTGCAGGCCTCAGCTGGCCTCCTGCAGTCCATCACCCCATCGCTCCACAGCACATTGCTCCATCCGTCTACAACCCTTCACCCCAACCCTCTAACACAAGTCAGGCCTCAGCTGAACCTCCCAGAGCCCCTCCCCACAGCCCTGCAGGGTGCTGGGTAGCCCCAGCTCTCCCACAGAGCCCTGATTTTTATGAAGGCTGCTGGCAGGCAGAAGCTGGACCAGAGAGCCTTTCTGAAGCAGGTGCATGAATGCAGGGACAAGGGCTACCTGCTGTCCTTCAAGAAGATTGGCTCTGGGGCCTTCTCCAAAGTCTACCTGGCCTACGCCACGCAGGAGCGCATGCAGCACAACTCCAAGCTGGCCTCTGACCTGCGGGGCAAGCGCCACTCCATGGTGAGGCAGGTTCGCCTACTCCTCACGGGGTGGGGGCTCCATGGTCCACCCTCCAGCCCAGCCCCAGTGACCCCTGTCCTAACTCCACCCAGACACCTCCCAGGTGCTCTGGCTTCCTCCTAGTCCCACATCTTCCAGAAGGCCCACTCTCTGGCAGTCTGATCCCTCCCAGTTCCTGGACCCCTTGAACACATAAGTGACAGGACAGGATGAAGGGGAAGGTCAGCGGTGTCTCGCAAGGCTGCTGCTCATCGAACCTTGCCCTAGTCAACTTCAGCCATATGCACAAAGGCCATGGGGCCTGTTCTACCACATCCTGTCCCCAGGGGGGTTGTGGCTTTTGCACAGTGGCCACCCTCCACACCTGCAGGTGGCTATCAAGATCGTCTCCACCGCGGAGGCCCCTGTGGAGTTCTCCCGCAAGTTCCTGCCCCGTGAGATTTCATCACTCAATGCTACCTACAAGCACCTGAACGTGGTGGGCAGAGACCCCAGGCAGCCTGGCCTTTCCTACCTACCCCAGGCCTGCCCCTTCCCCTCCTGGGACCCTTATGCTCGAGCCGGCCCCATCCCAAGACCCCAGCCCCGTGCACCCGGGGGTCCTGGTTGGGGGTGACGGCAGGGGGGCGGGGCCTGGCAGGTGCAGCTGTATGAGACCTTCGAGAACAGCCGGCGCACCTACTTGGTGCTGGAGCTGGCGGCCCGTGGCGACCTGCTGGAGCACATCAACGCCGTGTCCGCTCACCGCTGCTGCCCGGGACTGGAGGAGGAGGAGGCCCGCAGGCTGTTGTGGCAGCTGGTCAGTGCCGTGGCGCACTGCCACAACTCAGGCATCGTGCACCGGTGAGGGTGTCACCCAGCCCGCTGCCCAGCACGTGGAGACCTGCCTGAGCCCAGGTCCAGCCCCGCCTCCCTTTCCCCATGCAGGGACTTGAAGTGTGAGAACATCCTGCTAGATGACAGAGGCTGCCTAAAGCTGAGTGGTGAGCAGGCGGCCCAGCCCCCAACCAGGCTCCCAGCCTGGGCCAGCTCTGATCACCTTCTTCAACTTCCCTGGGTTGCCCATACCCCAGTCTTTCTGGGGCTCAAGCCCAGGGCTCCAGCCTCTACACTGGTTTGCTCCAGACTTCTGACCCCAGTCTGCCTTGTCCTTCAAGCCTCCGATGAGGCCTGCACCCAACAGTTGCCCACAGCCATACTTGCAGTCACCCACAGCCCCCTCAGGAGCCCTCTCTAACAACCTGCCCCACCCTCCCTGCATGTCCCTTGCAGATTTTGGCTTTGCCCATCAGTCCAGGTTCAAGAACACATTGCTGAGCACCTTCTGCGGCTCTATGGCCTACACAGCCCCAGAGATCCTCATGAGCAAGAAGTACAACGGGGAGCAGGCTGACCTGTGGAGCCTGTGAGCACCACCCCAGGGGCTCCAGGACCCTGGGGGGGTGAAGGGGCGGGGGCAGGGGAGGAGGGGCGGACCCTAAGAAGCCCATGCCCCTCAGAGGTGTCATCCTCTATGCCATGGTGACTGGGAAACTGCCCTTCAAGGAGCGCCAGCCCCACCGAATGCTCTACCTGATGCGCTGTGGCCCTGCCTTCCGGCCAGGCCTGTCCCCAGGTGAGCACCTCCACCACGTGTCCCTCCCAAGTCCTAGCCATGCCTGGAGAGGGGGCAGCAAGAGAGACCTAGGTCCAGAGAAGGGCCACACGCGCCGTGGCATGGGTGATGCTGACCTGGCCTCTTCCCCAGCCCAGACTGGGAGATGGACTGTGGTGACAGGGGAACTGGGGTTGGTGGCCCCATTAAGCTTGAACCCTGCACTAGCCCTAGGTCAGGCTGCCTCACCTCTCTGCCTGTCCACCCACATGCGAAACACAGACACCCTCTAGCCGTTTGGGAAGACTCCATGGGGCAACCCCACCAAGTGGCCAGTATCGTTGGCTGTGAGGGCCGTGGGCTTGGGGCATGAGAGGTGGTGGGAGGGGGCCACTCCCACGTGAGGCTGCAGCCTTGAGTCCTCACCCACAGAGTGCCAGGACCTGATCCGAGGCTTGCTCCAGCTGCGCCCGCGAGCTCGCCTGGGCCTGCAGCAGGTGGCCACCCACCACTGGATGCTGCCCGCTGCACATGCGCTTTTCTGCATCACGCCCAGCACTATACCAGGTGTGGCAGGCCTACCTGGGTGGGTAGGTGGGAGACTCCTCAGTGCCCCTCTTGACCCTCCCACTGTGATCTGTTGCAGAAAAACCAGAGAAGCCCCAGCTCCGAACGTCCCCGGACAATGTGGAGACCAACACGAACTCCGATCCCCCAAGGTCGCTCCTGCAACTGTGGCGACCCCAGCTACAGGGCACCTCTCATGAGAGTGTCTCTGGTCTGGCGCCTGAGCCCCTAGGGGTTTGCCTGAGACAAGGTGCAGACTCTGCTAGGTTTGAGCTCTGGAGCATGGAGATGGCCGGTCACGAGGTGGGTCGCTCCAGGCATCCACCGTTGTTATCCTTCATCCGGAGCGTGCCTGGGCACTACCTGGTTAGCTGAGGGTGGGCAGGAGGGCAGGGGAGAGGCCAGATAAAGCATTTATTCTCTAGAGCCAAGGGTGTGGACTTCTCAATGCAGGAAGAGGGATGCTGGGGCATCCGGAAAACAGTCCACATACCTTCAGGCTAGAGCTTTAATTTAATTGGGGGGAGGAAGAATGAAGAGGGGACCACACAAGAGGAATACACCCGATACCCATGAAGAACTTGGCTTTGATCTGAGCTCCAGTAGAGCTGGCCCCAGCTCTGGAGGTAGTACCAGGACTGAGGACACTGGGCAGGGGTTGGGGGTGGTGGGGGTGCTCTGTGGAGAGAAGCCTGGAAGGGCGGGGAAACAGGGATCTGGGGCAGAAGATGGCACTAGGTTTGGTGGGAGGCCTGGGAAGGAAATACAGTGGGGTGAGGGACAGCCTGCTGGGCTTTGGGCCGTGGACTTGAAGGTACCACATGGGACTTGAAGGAACCACATGGAGCCAAGGGGCTCCAAAGGGGCAGAGCGTGGTCCAGGGGAAGATTTGGGCCAAGGGCAAGGCTTATTAGCTTGGTGGGCATGGGATCTGGGGGGCTGAGGCTCAGGGGAACTGAGCAGGGAGAAGGCCTAGCTAGACAGGGAAGGTGGGAGCATCAGGTCAGTCCAGGACAGGGAAGCAGCACTTGCAGTGCTCTCAAAGGCCTGAGGGCTGGATCTAGGCACAGGGAAAGTGCTGAGGGCGAAGAGGAGGCAGCACCAGCAAGCACCCCAAGGACAGGCCAGGGGATGCAGCCCTGGGAGATCCTGATAAGCTCTGGCTGGTGAAACTCTCAACAGGTCAGCCCTGTGAGGCTAGGTCTCAGGCAGGGCCAGCTGAGGGCCCCCAGGGTGGAGGGACCGGGGTGGAACTGGCAGCAAGGGGCACTGCAAGCATCCAGACCCCTAGAGTACCCCTGAGACTCGTTGGGAAGCTCCAGCTGGCCCCTCAGGTCTGCAGTGTTTTTCTGTCCAGCCCTGCCAGCCCTCTGCCTGGAGACACCTGAGCGAGTCAGAGGTCTGGACCAGCCTTGGCTGAACAGTTCTCCTCTGAGCAGCCAGCATTCTTATTGGAAGCAACAGGGCACATGGAGGTGCCCTCAACCCTCAGCAAAGACCTGGAGCTTAAGGGCAGCTCTACTTCTCAGCCAGATATACTCTCAGAGCAGGGGACAGCAGGCAGGCCTGGTCTGGGAGGCCTGGACGGACTTCAAACAGAAGTGGGCCCGGAGATGCTGGCAGACCTCAGGGGCCTCAAGTGGGTGCAGCTCCCTCTGCTTGTGGCCCTGGGCCCAGCTCCAGCTCCTGCTGCTCCCGCTCTTGGTGATCCTGCTGCTGCAGCTGCCGCTCAACCTCCTCCGGCACCTGCACCTCCAGCAGGTTCTCCAGGCCTCGCTCTGGCTCGTCCCCAATAAGTACCTGCCAGCAGGGGAGGCACGTGAGGAGCTGGTTGGCATACCCTGGACGTCCCCCCCCCCCACCCCAACCCTGCACCCACCTGGATGAGTTTCTCACAAGTCACCTGCACATCAAGCTCAGGCTCCCAGCTGTGCAGCTCTCGCAGGATCAAGTAGGCTCCCTGGTCCCTCACCTGCTTCCGACCAGGTGCTGTGGCTGTCAGCTGGAAGAGGGCAGAGGGCACCCAGGCATCAGTGTGCTAGTGTGTGTGTGTGTGTGTGTGTGTGTGTGTGTGTGTGTTAGGCTCCCTGGTCCCTCACCTGCTTCCAACCAGGTACCCAGGCATCAGTGTGCTAGTGTGTGTGTGTGTGTGTGTGTGCTAGTGTGTGTGCTAGTGTGTGTGCTAGTGTGTGTGTGTGTATGTGTGTGTGTGTGTGTGTGTGTGTTAGGCTCCCTGGTCCCTCACCTGCTTCCGACCAGGTGCTGTGGCTGTCAGCTGGAAGAGGGCAGAGGGTACCCAGGCATCAGTGTGCTAGTGTGTCTGTGTGTGTGTGTGTGTGTGTGTGTGTAGGGGTGGCATTAATGGAGCAGGACCCCTGCTCACCAGCATGATGGTCTCAATTAGCATCTTGCGGATGTCAGCGTCAGGCTCTCGCTGCTTGTCTGGTGGCAGGTACTGCAGATCAACAGGCAGCCCTAGGGGTGAATTTGTGAGTCAGTGGGTCTCCATGCTGGCCCCTGGGCCACTAGGCAGGACCCTGCCATTTTAAGGTTCATCTGTGCTCAGCAACTCCCTGCTGGAAGGTTTCAGAGGGTCCCTGATCTGGACACCTCCTGCCTCTCCCCTACCGGCCGCCCCTCTCCTGTTAAACCAACCCTGAGGCTCGACCCTAGCCACTCACGCTCCATCTCTTCCTCAGAGAAGTCTTCAGGTCCAGCCAGGGGCAGTAGCAAGAAGGGGAGAATGTCCACCTCGGGCCCAAGCAACCATTCATGATGTCCTGGGGAGAAACAGGAATGCAGGCCTGTCCAGAGGCGCCCCAGAGAACAGCCTATTCCCTCCACTCCCCGATAAGGCAGCATCCCCACCACGACTCACGGTGCTCGAAGCAGCAATTTCGCAGTGTTCCCACCACCCCGCCCCTGCGCACCGAGGAGTCCGGGTATTGGGTAAGGGGCAGCAGCCGCTGGACCACGCACCTGGAGGGAAGGGCCACTCAGTGCCGTCCCTGCTCACTTCCAACCCCTCCCCGCTAGCGCCCGGAGCTTCACCTGTTGCGGTCCAGCAGAAAAGCGCGGGTCGCGGGACGTTGGCTGAGGTTGGAGAGCACTGGTCCCAAGTAGTGCAAGGGCGCGCGGGCGTTGTAGCCTGGAGTGCACAGCGCGCGCACCAGCCGCTCCAGGCCCGACTCCCCGGGTTCTGCGGCCGCCAGAGCCTCTATCAGCGCAGCGCACGGCACCGGCTCGCGGCTGAGGTTAGCTAGCACGGCGGCCGCCTCCTCGGCCCAGGGCCACTGTGGGTCCAACGCGCAGCCCAGCAGGCGGACAGGCAGTCCGGGCTCGGCCTCCAGCAGCGGCTTGTGTAGGCCGGGGTCGGCAGCCAGGTTGACTAGCGCGCGAGCAGCGTCTCGGGCTGGGGCGGGAGGAGGGGCCACCGCCAGCTCGACCAGCGACCGCAGTAGTGCCGCCTGGCCGGCCAGCAGCGTGCGGCCGGGCCCCGAGCCAGTCAGCGCCAGCACATGCTGCGCCGCTGCCGCCTGCAGGTCAGCCCGCTCCCCGAGCGTCAGGAAAGGGAGCAGCTTCGCCGCCTCCGCCTTCGGGCTGGTCTCCGACATGGGCGACCCTACGGGAGCTAGGCCATCGCCTAACGCAACCCTGTCCGCCCCGTCCTCCCGGATGCAGGTCAGTGAGCTCCGGGAAGCACCCTCAGCCAAGTCGGGAATCTACAGGTGGTCAGCGGCCCCGCCCACCAGGTAACGGAAGCCGCAGTAACCAATCCGAGGCCATGACTCTACCCAAGGGGTGGGACCTGCGCGCAGAGGCGGGGACATGTCGAGGCCCGGGGGATTGTGGGATTGGAAGCCGCTACCGCCCGGAAGCCGGCGCGGACCCGCGGAGATCTTGACTGTCGCTGGAGGACTAACAGCGGCCTTTTGGGGGCTCCTGCCCACCCCCTCATAGCGAACGTTGGCTCTCTTCCTTCGTGGGATTGGCATAGATCTGTTTTCTCTGGAAGAAAAGCGTGATCAGTTACAGTGATTGACTTTCTAGTGCATTCCTGACATAATCTCCGTTTGGTCACGATATATATTTTCGTTTTTGTTTATGGTTGTATTCAATTTAATGAAGTTTTGTTTAGAATTTTTGCATCTCTGCCCATGAGGAATATTGGTCTGTAGTTCTCTTTTCTCCTGATGTCTTCGCCTCGTGTTGGGTAATGCTGGCCTCAGGAGGATTGGAGAAAGTATTCTTTCCTTATGAATTTTACGCTAGAGTTTGTCAACCTAACATTGCGTGCGCAGGTGCTAGTCGCCCAATTGCATCCCATGCTTTGTTGACCCCGTGGACTGCCAGGCTCCTCTGTCCATGGAATTTTCCAGGCAAGAATACTGGAGTGAATTGCTGTTTCCTTCTCCAGGGGATCTTCTTGACCGAGGGATTGAACCAATGTCTCTTTCATCTCCTGCATTAGCAGACCGGATTCTTTACCACTGTGCCACCTGCGAATTAAACCTAGTGTTACTGCTCTGTAAATGTTCAGTGAAGCCTGAAATTTTCTTTCTGGGAAGGTTTTTTTTAACTACAAACTCGATTCATTTAATAGAAATATGGCCATTCAAGTTGTCCTTTTCTTCTTGGGTTACATTTGGTAGTTTGTGTCTTTTAATTAGTCCATTTCATCTAAATTGTTAATTGTCATAAAGTTTTTTGTAATATTTCCTTATCCTTTTACTGTGTGTATACTCTGTCGTGGTGCCACCTCTCTCATCCTTTATATTGGTAATTCGTGTCTTCTCCTTTTGTCTTGCCAGGAGTTTGTCTGTTTTATTGATCTTAAAGAACTGCCTTTTGGATTAATTTATTTTTATTGTTTTCTTTTTCAAGTTTATTGATTTCTACTTTGGCCTTTTTCCTTTCTTCTTACTTCAGGCTTAATTTGCTGTTCTTTTTCTATTGTCTTAAGGTAGAAGCTTGGGTCACTAATTGGAGACCTTTCTTTTCTCATGTAGGGGTTTCCCCCCATTTGTTACCTGACTCATGAGTTATTTGTTATGTGCATTACTTTTCCACAGCTACATGCCCCTTAATAGGTGGATATTATTTTTGTTTCACACTAAGGGCTAGGACAAAGCCTCAAGGGGCCGTAGCGCCCAGGATAGCCAGTTGCAGGTAACAGTGTGCCCCTTAAGTCAGCAGGTCAGAAGGTGCAGGAGCCTTAGACCAATAGGAAGAGACTCCATAGCCTCAATCCCAACCTCAGTTTTCCTGAAAGTCTCCTGGAAACTGAGGAAGAGGGTGGACGAGTCCAAGGAAGTGTTGTCTCTCCAAGGCAACCACACAGATCCTAGGCAAAAGAGTTGAAAATTCCTCAAGATGTGGAATTAAAATATCATGGGTAATCTAGATAAATGATGCCCTCTGGTGGGTACTTTTGACTGAGACAAAAATGTGCCCCTTCAGGACCCATGCTTTGAATGATTCAAGGAAGTGCTTACGGAAATCACCAGGTTCACTGGCTAAGTCATGTCTGACTCTGTTACTCCCTGGACTGTAGCACACCAGGCTTCCCTCTTCTCCACCATCTCCTGGAGTTTGCTCAAACTTCTGTCCACTGACTCAGTGTTACTATCTAACCATCTCATCCTCTGTCACCACCTTCTCCTGCCCTCAATCTTTCCCAGCATCAGGGTATTTTCCAGTGAGTTGGCTCCCTGCTTCAGGTGGTCAAAGTATTGGAGCTTCAGCTTCAGTATCAGTCCTTCCAATGAATATTCAGGGTTGATTTCCTTTAGAATCACCAGTGAGGAGCCTTAACTATCCCTAAGATGAATTAAAAGATCCGAAGTCTTTGGAAGTGATTTCATTTATGTCTATTTTTTGGCCGTGCCACACGACTTATGGGACCTTAGTTCCCCAACTGGGAATTGAACCCAAGCCCTCAGCAATAAGAGCGTGAAGCTTTAACCGCTGGACCACCAGGGGATCTGGAAGTGATTTCAAAGTTACAGGAAACCCCATATAGCGTTGACTCAGAGACCTCAGTCGGATTCCCAGATTACCCCAGTTAGCCCAGTACCTGTGTGTCACCTCTTGTGGCCTTCAGACAGGAACAACTCTTCATGCCCTTGACACAGACCCCCAGCCAGCTGCTGTGTAGCACGTTCCTCAGTCTGCATGTGTCTGGTTGCCTCCTGACGAGACTCAGGTTGTATCTTTCTGGCAGGAGTGTTCTGGAGGAGATGCTGGGTTCTTTTCTTCCTGTCTAATTGGGTAGCATGGCTTTGATTTGTTGGAGAGGCTTGTCTTGAACACTTGATTAAGGTGGAGTGGCCCAAGCTTCTTCTTTCAAGTTACTCTTTTTCTTTTGGTATTTAATAAGTATTTTATGGGGGTATACTTTGAGGCTGTGTGAACACACTGTTTCTCAAATAAATTTCGCGCCCTAGTTTTTGCATGTATTGTTTTTTTCTCTGAATTAGTTATTACCATGATGGTTGCCAAGTGGCTGTTTTCTAATTTTATCATTTATTGTAGGGAAAAAAGCTTTCTCTTTACCTATTTATATCAAAGAAGACACATGTATTCCTAGTTTATTCAAAGAAATATAATACTTTACTGTCATTATCTTGATCCTCAAGTTGTCCTCAATTTGGTCAGTGGAAGCCCCTTCAAGGAGGTTTCTGTGTGTTTTTTAAAATAGCTTTATTTGAAATCAAACAGGACTCTGTAGGGCCTTCCTAGGGGGACAGACCCCCCTCCCCCACTGGGATGTCCGCCACCTCTGTAGAAGAGCTTTAGCCTCCTAGGCCTTCCCCAAGTTCCAGTGAGCAAAATTATCTGAGAAGTGAGAAAATACAAAGACAAAAGCAGTCACACAAGACAAAGTAGTAACAGTTTAGCCATAAAACCAAAGCAAGGACTTCTACACAAAGGCCAGAAGTAATAACCTGAGCAATAGCCATGGAGTGGTTTTGCAGATACCGAAACCCCCTGCTCGTGGAAGAAGTTAACTGCATGCTGACCACCAGCACTTAGTCCCCAGACCAACTGGAACCTGAAAATTGATAAGGCTGCCAGCAGTGACCCCACCCGGTTACCTCACTATCAACCAGTCAGAGAACTGTGTGCAACGTAATCATGAAACCCATGACGTTCTTCCTCACGCTGTCTTTAAAACCTTCCCCTGAAAGCCTTGAGGAGCTCGGATCTTTTGAACGTGAGCTGCCTGTTCTCTCTGATGGGCAACTGCCCGAACCCTACACCCTCCGCCACAACCCATTGTTCGCAGGTGGGCTTCCTGTGCATCAGGGGCAGGCCTAGTTCCATCTGGTTATGTGTTGAGAGAAAATTCAACATGGAGTTCCATGGACAGAGGAGCCTAGTGAGCTATGGTCCATGGAGTGGCAGAGTCAGATAAGACTGAGTGTCCTACCGAGTGACTAACACACATGAGAGAAAATCAACATACCATAACAGATCATCCATCTAAATTCCATGGTTTGTGGTATATTAACTTTTGTAAATAGTTGTAATATACATATCATAAAATTGACATTTAACTGTTTAATTTTGAGCCGTACTGCACGGCTTGTGTGATCTTAGTTCCTTTACCAGGGATTGAACCCTTACCCTTGGCAGTGAGAGAGCAGAATCCTAGCCAGTGGACCATCAGAATTCCCATGTTTGTATTTTTTAAAGCATTTATTGCTTCTATAATTTGAACCATAATTTGAACCAGTAGAAGCAGGCTACCACGGGCCTCCCAATCCTTGTTTCAGGGGGCACAGTTCCGCTTTATAAAAACATCATGTGTGTCTATGTGTTAGTCTTTCAGTTGTGTATGACTCTTTGTAACCCAATGGACTGTAGCCTGTCAGGCTCTTCTGCCTATGGAATTCTCCAGGCAAGAATACTGGAGTGAGTTGCCACTCCCTTCTTCAGGGGATCTTCCCAACCCAGGGATCAAACCCAGGTCTCCCACATTGTGGGCAGATTCTTTCCCATCTGAGCCACTAAGGAAGCCCAAAAGTGAAAGTGTTAGTCACTCACTTGTGTCCGACTCTTTTCGATCCTATGGATTGTGGCCTGCTAGGCTCCTCTGTCCATGGAATTCTCCAGGCAAGTGTACTAGAGTGGATAGCCATTCCTTTCTCCAGGGGATCGTCCCAACCCAGGGACTGAACCGGGGTCTCCTGCATTGCAGGCAGATTCTTTGCTGTCTGAGCCCCCAAGGAACATCATGTACTGAAAAACATCCAAGTGCTGCCCACCAGAAGCCCCATAACAAGACCCCATACAGGTAGGGGTTTTGGGGGAAGGTGTGAGCAGCCAATTTTAACCACAAAACCATTGAGAAGGAACGTCAAAAGTCAGAGGCTGACAGTGCAGGAAAGAAGTCGGTGCTCAGGCCTCCTAGCAGCAGGACGTGAAGAGCTAGCACTGGCCCTTCACACAAGCGTCCTGACAGCCAGTGCACACGTGGGCCCAGTAGGGGCTGGGGCAGGGCCTTGTGAGGTCATGGCAGTGCAGAAAAAGGCTGAGGCCCTCTGAGACCCTGCACGTCCCAGACAAGGCCCGTCCCCTGGTGACTGAGGGGAAAGATGCAGAGGACACACTGCCCCTTTACTGCTTTGTGGGTAGAGCATGCAGGGCCCCTTCATCAGTCTTCTCCTTTCCAGCCTAGAGGTAGCAAAGCTCCGACCATTCCTGGTTTCATCTGCATCGAACGACTACAGGTTCTCCCACACATACCTGCCACCACCCAGACCTTCCCCTCTCCCTGGCCCACCTGTTGGTATCTCCTGCCCATCCTGACCCCAGTAACTAACAAGGAAAGGTTGGCTGAGTGCCTGAGCAGGGACATGCCTGTGCTGTGGGTTCCTTCTCTGGGCAGACAAACGCACCCTCACCAGGAACACTGCTCAACATGTGCTGACCCCAGCCCAGATCCTGTCCCACCCCAGACCCCACCAGGCCCCTACACATGCCTCACACGTGCAACTGGCCACCAGCAGGTTCACCACACACCAGACCCCCTACCCACCTCAGTGGCCCCCAAAGGTGAAGGTGGCATCCAGTGTGTGGGTTATGGCCTCTGGACTTTATTCCAGCCCTGAGCCTTAGCTGGGGCAAACAGCTGGCTGGAGAGCCATGTCTTGACTCCATGTTGGAGGGAAGGGGGAGTTAGGGCTGGGCCAGGGCCACTCGCTGGGTTAGCGGTAGCTGTCAGGGTTGGTGTTATCTGGCAGAAAGTAGCGCTGCAGGGCAGGCTGCAGGAGCCGTGGGGGCAGCGGACGGGTGGACCTGGGCCAGTCTGGGGGGAAAGGCTGCAGTTCCACCCGAGGCAGTGGCAGCTTCAGTATGCGGATGGTTCGGTCCAGGGAGTGGTCTGCCGAGAGCTGGAACAACATTCGGCCTGGGGGGCCAGCAGGATGGTGAGACCGTGGTGTGGGGCGGATGCTCGGTGGGAACTGGGCTGAGCCAGGGTCCGATTTCCATCCCTGACCCCACTCACCCCTCAGTCTCATGGGAGGCCTCTGGACCCTAGTCTCCTGAAGCCGGAGGATGTGGTCGTGCCTGTTGGGTGGGGAGGTGGGCTTGGCTGAGCTAGTGCCTCAGCCACCCCAAATAGGCTCTGCCCCAGCCTCACCCCGGAGCCCATGGCCTACTCACCGGGGATCCGGGGACCGTGGCAGCACCATGCCACGGACCTGCGGGGGCCGGGGAGAGCCTGGGGGTGGGCTGTAGGGCTCCTCAGGCAGGGGCCCCTGCTGCCGAATGTGCTGCTGCTTGCAAAAGAAGTTGAGTGCATCAATGGGCCCCAGGTCCAGCATTTTGGACTGTGACCAGACCATCTGTGCCAGAGGCAGCATCTCACAGGGCGGCATCTCACGAGGCAGCATCTCATGGGGCAGTATGGCGGGTGCAGAGGACCGCAAGAAGACCTCAGGCTGGAGGCAGAAGCACATCAGGGTCTCTGACAGCGCACGCTGGGTCCTTGCAAAGTGCGGCTGTGCCAGCATCTGCTGGGCCTGGGGCTCCAGGGTGGTCAAGTCTGACACCCCTGGTGAGACCACCAGAGAGGGTGTCTGGGAGATGTTGGAGGATGTCACAGAGATGTGACCAGCTGCCCCAGAGAGCATCGAGATCTGCGACAGGGCCTCCTTAGAAGGGGGGTGAAGTCCTGAGGTCTTTGAAACCTTGGGCAGCACCTCTGACAACTTGGATACAGACAGCTGCACGGTCTCCATCTGCAGGAGAGCTGGTCTGAGGAGGGTGCACCAGGGTCCAAGGCAGAGACCCCACCGTCTCCTCCTCCTGGGGAGGTAGGAAGATCTGGGAGATGGGGACAGGGTAGGGGAGGACAGAGGAGGCACAGAGTGGGAGTAGAGAGTGGAGCCTGCTGGCCTCACCTGGCTCCCTCCCTCCATTCCTCACCCCACCCCCACCCCCGGACTTGGGGAAAGCCTGGGGAGAAGACAAGAGGCTCCATGGGCTGGCCACCCGGCCCTGCCCCCACTCTGCCCGCCTAGACCTGCAGCTGCTGGATCATCTCCTCCAGCTTCTGGCAGCAGCGCCTGCGCAGTGTGGCCTTGGACTCAGGGTCTGGGCCCTGGACCCAGGTCATCATCTCCTTGAACAGGAAGCCCTGCGGGTCCTGAAGGCCGAGTCCGTCCAGCAGCTTCCTGAGCTCTGGCCTGGGGCAGGTGTGGGAGGTTTGAGGGTGGCCTCCCACAGTGGGGAGGGCCAGCTGGAGCAGGACTCACCGGCAGGGGGCTGGCGAGTAGAGGAAGTAGGACATCAGCTCCAGCACCACCTCGCGGGACTCCAGGGAGCATGCCAGGAGCAGCTGCAGTGCCAGCATCACAAACTGCTTCTGGACCCGGTCCTGAGCGCAGATGGAGAGAAATCGGTGCCCCACGCCTGGGGCAGGGCGGGGCCGGCCCAGGGCAAGGCACTCACCTGCAGGCTGGGGGGCTGCTCCAGGTTGAGCAAGCGCAGGAGGGTGCCCTGCAGCCGGCTACAAAACTCTCTGCTGAGGTCCGGTAGCAGCTGCAGCAGCGCGCGCAGCACGTGCACACGGTCGGCCCAGGAGGCCTCCTCCAGTAGGTCCATGAACGCGGAGGCCAGGCCCTCCACCGTGCTCATCTCAGGGTAGGCCTGCCAAGCCCCGCCTCCTGCTGTCACCCCTGGCGCTCCAGCCTCCCTGCTCCCACCCCCGAGTCCGTGGTTCCGAGACTCCCCCGAACCTGAAGGGTGAAGATGGGGAAGAGCTTTTTGAACCAGTTCTGCTCAACGAAGAACTGCAGAAACTTCGGCAGATGCCCGTAGCGCTGCTCCCAGAGCAACTGCAAGTAGTGGAACTGGGGGCGGTGAAGGTAGGTCTTGGTCCTGGCGGTGTCCTCATGGATGCCCTTGAGGCTCAGGACAGGGTCTTTGGTGCTCTAGGGGCGGCAGCAGCAGCAGCAGCTGCAGACCCTGCCTCCCTAGGCCGCCCCTGCGCTGCCGCCCAGCCCAGCCTCTGACGCCTACCAGCGCCTGCGGCCTCATGGGCACCAGCAGCGGGTCGGAGGGCAGCCTGTGCGGGGGACTCGGGGGCTCCAAGGCCCAGTCCAGGTCCGGCTCCTCCTCGTCCTCGTCCTCTTCGTCCCTCAGCCACTGGATCAGCTTCTGTTGCTGCTGCTTGGTGCGGCGCCGCCTGATGCCCCGCACCAGCCACAGGTCGTCCTGGCCCCCGCGCTGCTGCAGAGGTGAGAGCCAGGCCTTGGCCGCGGGCCAGCGAACGGGGGAGGGGGCCCGCCCTCCCGCAGACCCCGCCCCGCCGCTTGCCTCACCTTCCTCTCGTGGCTGTCCGAGAGTCCGTCAAGGGCTCCGAGGCCGCTGACCTCCTCGGGCGACCACATCTGCTGCAGCACCACCGAATTGGGCACATAGCCCGGGAAGCGAATGGGCCACCGCCAGTACTGTGGGCGGGGCACAGCGGGCCGGGCTGAGAGCCTGAACTCCACCTACCCCAGAGACCACCCTAGCCGGCAGCGGCTCCATGCCCGGGAGCTGAGCCAGGCTCACAGCCCTGTTCACGACCCCAGTCAGGAAGATAGAACCTCCCAGAGTCAGGCAGAAGGGCAGGCAGAGTACTGTCCACTGTGGTTGCCGAGATGGGAAGTCCGGGTGAAGCTAGCCTTTGGGAGCCCTGACACCCACAAATTCTGCACCGGATTCAGGGCGATAGGAGGGACTTCCCTCTCACTGCCCGGGGCCAGGGTTCAATCCCTGGTCAGGGAACTAAGATTCTATAAGCCACGCACAGCAGCCAAGAAGAAAAAAAGGGAGAGGGGCAGTAGGAGCCCCCGGGGGCATACTGGAGGCTTGGGTAGATGGAGTAGCAGCTAGAAGGTTCAGTGGGGGGTGCCAGACGCAAGTGTCTGGGCGTGGGGGGAGGGGCAGAGTGGGGAGGCAGCTCCCGGGTGACTCCGCTCCCCCAGGGGGCAGGACAACAGTCTCCCACGCTCAGGCCAGAGGCCCCGCCCCCAACACTCGCTGAGAGTGGCTGCAGCCAGGGCAGGCGGCAGAGGCTCTGGCCTCCCTAGAGCCTGGTCCAGTGTCCTGGTCCTCTGGCAGCTGGTTCCCAGAGTGCGAGCAACAGCTGTGAAACTGGGCTGGGGGTGGGGGGTGTGGGTGGGCCTGGCTCTCAAGGCAGAGTTGGCACAAAGGTGCGCAGCCAGGGGAAGATGGGGTCCCCAAGAAGGGCGCCCTGCGGAGGAAGGCGCCCCTAGCGCAGCCTGGGGCTCTCACCTTGTAAGGATGGATGGTGGCAGGGAAGAAGCCCCTGCGGTTGGAGAGCAGCTCCTGGGGCCGCCTCTGCAGCAGCAGGGAGGTCTGGGTTGGGGACAGAGGCCTGGGCTCCAGTGTCCCTGCAGCTCCGCCCCCGGGGCAGCCTCTCCCACCAGGTCCTCACCCTGCTCTGCCCCAGGTCGTGGGGCGGAGGATCCCAGGCCAGAGGCTTCTCGCTGAGCCGGTCCTGCTGCAGCTGCAGGTCCAGACCGAGGTCCAGCTCACAGCTCAGGGAGGACAGGGCCAGTAGCTGGGCCGGAAGGAGGAGTCAGAGGGTGGGGGCGGGAATCATGAGGTGAGGGCAGGGGTGGGAGGGGTGGGAGGCTTCACCTGGGATGCTCTGCTGTGGGCCCTCCGGTAGGTGGCTGGTAGAGGCAAGGGGACTTGGGGAGGGCGGGCAAAGCGCCTGCCCAGGGTCCCCACGTCCTGCAGTGGTGGGGCTTCAGTGCCCCTGAGAGCAGGGCCATCTCTGGGCTGGGCACTCGGGTCCCAGGTCTCTCTTTCCACTGCAAGGGCCACTGTGCCCCACTGCTGCTGGGGCTCTGCTTCAGAATCCAGACTCTGGGGGGCAGGGCACATGGGCAGGTCAGAGGCCCAGGGCACAAGGAGGTCTGGGGAGGCCCCACGCTCACCAGCATGCCCGGGCCGTAGATCAGGTGTAGGTAGTTATCAAAGGCCTGCTGGCGCTGCTGCCAAGTCAGCTGGGGCCGGGCTGCCGGGCTCTCCAGCCCCAGTCTCAATTGCTGAAGGTCTTGGTCCCGGGCAACCAGGACTTCCAAGTCCTGGGGTGGGGGTCAGGGGTCAGCTCACTCTTTGAGCCTTGTCGTGTGCCACCCAGACAGGTGCAGGGACCCCAGGCCTGCCCCAGGGACCGAACGGGAGGGTCCTGAGCTTGGGGGCTGGGGGGGCACCGGGAGCCACCCCACCTCCTCCGACATTGGCTGCTGAGGAGCTGTTGTCTGGCGACGGATGAAACACAAGGCTGTGCTGCAGACAGAGAGGGGCACAGTGGGGACACAGATGGCATTGCCAGTGGGGTAGGGCAGAGGCTGGGCTGGGGCTCCGGGCTGGGCGGCTAGGCCCCCGGTGGGCAACCATGAACGGTCAGGACTGGGATGGGCTTGCGGTGAGTGGCCGAGGGGCCTGAGAGCTCTGGGGTCTCCTGTGGGGGCATATGGCCAGGCCCTGACCCAGGGGAGCCGGGTGGGGGCCTCTGGGACAGTTCAGTCAGGCCTCTCAGCAGACCTGAGGCTGGCCGCCCCACGAAGGTTGGCGAGCCTCTGTAGCTGGGCTGAGGTCAGTGACTCCTGGCTGGCCAGCGGCAGTGGAGGGTCATCCGCCCCATCAGGGTCCTCTTGGCACAGCTTCTGAACAGGAAAAGGAGCCTGGAGCCCTGGCCTCGGCGGCTCATCTGCCCACAGCAGCCCCGCCCCGCCCACCTGTGTTCACTGCACACCTTAAGCAGGTAAGATGTGGGCAGGTAGAGTCTGTGGTCCAGCAGGCAGAGGCGGGAGCCCAGCGCCAGGACCAGGTCCCCATTGTTGCTGCAGAAGGTCAGGGCCTGAGGGGCACCGTTCAGATGTAGGAGCCTGGAGGGGGGTTCAGAGTGGGAGTCCAGCCCTGCTTCTCTGAGTAGAAGACCAAGGCAGGAGCAGAGGCAAATCCCCAGCCACCCCTGCACCCCCTCCAGCTGCCCAGCTCTGGTAGGGCAGAGGTGGAAAACCCAGGCAGCTGCTCCCTGCCCCCACCCCTCCCCAGCCCACCGCAGCAGCTTGTTCTCTGCTGTCCAGATGCGGATGGTGTGGTCCAGGCTGGAACAGGCATACAGCTTGAGCGTGGGACAGCAGCACAGGCCTGGGGGCCAAAACTTAGCTTTAGGGCCCAGAGCCATCTGGAGGCCTGGGCTTCCCCTCGGCCCTGCCTCCTCACCAGTGATGTGGTCCGTAGGGTCGTCCTGGGGCCGGTGATCATAGCGAGGGCTGCTGCCCAGGCCAAACTGCACCAGGCCGTAGGTGGCACTGTTCGGGTCCTCGAAGCCCACGGTGACGCGCTTGCCGAGGGCGCAGAGCACCACCACTGGGTGGCAGCAGCAGAAGGTGCGCAAGGGGCTCAGGCTCTCCTCTGCGTAGGGGAAAACGCGCCACATCTTCACAGTCAGGTCTCCCCCTGTGCGGGCAGGAGCCACGGTGACGCCTCTGGGGAGGGAAGGAGTCCCCAGCCAGCGTGGCGGGGAAGGGGGGAGAGGTACTGACCAGAGGACACGATGCAGTTCCAGGTGGACGCGATGGCAGTGACGGGCCCTGGGCTGTGTGCTTCCGTTCGGAAGACTGTCTTCAAGGAGCGCAACTCGAGTACGGACAGGGTGCCATCAGTGTGCCCCACCACGGGCAGGTACCTATTGGCGACCACAGCCGGTTGGCATGGGTCCGGTTGCCTTGCCCAGCCCCGGCTGGCTGCGGCACCCACCGGTTCTTGTCCTTCCAGGCCCAGGCCACGTCGCTGCGGCACAGCTCGCCCTTGTACTGGCACACTATCTCCCAGTTGGTGAACGCGCTGGCGGGGTCCGTGAGGTGGCTGTAGAGGTGCAGGCAGCAGGGCTGGGGTGCAGGCAGCGGCGGCGGGCACAGGCGGTGCAGCACCCGCATTGGGGAGCGTGCTGCGTTGGCACACAGCAGGTGTCCGGTGCGCGTCAGCACCCACAGCGCCTCGCGAGGCAGGCAGTAGGCCACGGCGGCCGCGCAGTCCTCGGGCTCCAGCAGAAGCGCGCTCACGGTGCGTCCGCCAGAGACAGACACCAGGTAGACCGAGCCGTCGGCGCAGGCGCACACCAGGCGCGCGGGCAGCGCCGCGTGCGGGGCGGTGGGCTTGGACAGCGCCGGCGCCAACTGCAGGTGGAGCACCGGCGCAGACAGCTGCGCCAACGGTGAGTAGAGCTCCCGAGCACGCCACAGCCCCACGCTGCGGGCCCCCAAGGAGAGCAAGGGCCAGCCCAGGCCAGCGGGGGCCAGCAGACGGCTCACACTCTCCATCGGCAAGCCGCGGCCCCAGCAGGTGAGCGCCACCTCACCCACCTGCGCCGCTGCCTGCAGGTCCCACGTGCGCAGCGTCCCGTCCTGTGAAGCTGACACCACCAGGGCGGTGTTCGGGAGCACGGCCACCGCGGTCACTGGGCCTGCGGGGGCACGTGTCACTTCTGCATCCCAGGGACCCAGGAAAGGGGAGCCTTGGGTCAGGGTCGCGGCCAGGGTGGAGAAGCTTGGCCAAGGAAGCAGCAGACATTCTGTGCCAGGGGCTCTTGAGGGCAGAGGGCCATCCCCAGGGTGGAGGGAGACCAGGCTTCAGGAGCCACCGTGGCCCAGCGTACCTCTGTGTCCCACGAACACCATCCGGATCTGCCAGTCAGCCTCCCACACTTTCACCGTGCTGTCCCGGGAAGCTGTCACCATGGCCTCTACCTCTCTACAGTACGCCAGGTCAAAGATAGTGCTGAGGAGTGAGAGGGAGGCTGGGTGGACTCAGAACTGCCGCGCGCGTGTGTGTGTGTGTGTGTGTGTGTGGCTGGGTGGACTCAGAACTGCCGCGTGTGTGTGTGTGTGTGTGTGTGTGTGTGTGTGTGTGGCTGGGTGGACTCAGAACTGACGCGTGTGTGTGTGTGTGTGTGTGTGTGTGTGGCTGGGTGGACTCAGAACTGACGCGTGTGTGTGTGTGTGTGTGTGTAGCTGGGTGGACTCAGAACTGACGCGTGTGTGTGTGTGTGTGTGTGTGTGGACTGCCGTGTGTGTGCACGCGCATTCACCCACCTGCACCTCTGCACTGGATTTCCGTCTCAGCCTCGCCTCATGATTTCCGCCCTCCCTCACCCGTCCCTGGGCCCCCCCTCACGTTTTGTGCAGATTCCGACGCACATCTGTGAGAGCCCAGGTTTGCAGATCAAAGGTGAGCACAGCTGAACCATAGGCTGCGAAGCAGCATGGGTCGTGATGGGGAGGCCGAGGCCCCAGAGCCAGACGCGCAAGTGCACCCGAGATGCTTGGTGGTAGCTGCAGAGGTGACCCGTGGGGAACCAGGCAGCGGCCCCCTGAACGGAACTTCCAGAGCACCAGGCTTCTGCCTGCCTCCGCCACCAGCAGCAGCCTGGGATCTGGCACCGGCAGGCAGCAGATGGGCTCACGGCCTGGCACCCTGTGCTCCCCTGGCTTACTCAGCCACAGTAGGCTAAGGTCGGACCTTAGTATGGCCAGCCCCACTGGGCCCCAGCCCACAAAGCGGCCCACAGTGCCCAGCGGGCCCAGCACCGCCACTAGCCCTGTAAGTGCAACTGGAGCCAGCAGCTTCTCTTGTGCCCAGCCATCCTCTCTGTGCAGGTGCAGGCGGCCTGCACCGTCCAGCACCACGAAGCGTCTGCCCACAGGGTCTTGCGCCACTGAACACAGCCCAGCTGCCATCTCCAGGCGCCGCAGGGGTTCCAGCCCGTGCGTCAAGCGCGCCACGTGCAGCTCAGCTCTCTTTTCCTATGGGCCAGGATCAACAAGACTGCAGTGAACTTGGTGGGGGCCAGGGGTTGGGGGTAGGCAGGGCACCTGTCTAGGGGTGCCAAGAGGACCCTGGCTGGGATCCTACTGGGGACCCCTAGGGGAAGAGCCAGGTCAGGAAAGAGGCCTTGACACAGATGCCACAGCCGAGCCGCACCTTTTCCACAACGGCCTGCAGGCCTGTGCGCAGGAGCAGCCACAGCTGGCGGGCACGGGCACTCAGAGCCATGTTCTGCCACCGCGAGTTGTTGGTAAAAAGCTGTGGGGCCAGCTCCGAAAATGATGACCCTGCGAACCGGCAGTGGAAGCGGTCAGTGTGGTCTTGGGCCCCTAACTCTGGAGGTCCTGGGCAGCCAAGGGCCCTCCTGGGAGCCCTGCCCAGTTAGGAGACTGCCCAGGGAGCGCTGCATTCCCCAAGGACAGAACCTGGGCCTCAGTCAGCCCAGGCCACCTCACCCCTCTCTTCCTTGAGGAACCCCGGGTCCGGGACTTCGTAGATGTTGGCCTCATATGGGTCTTGGTCTAGAATCAGGTAGTCGCCTTCTACTGTAGAGGGGTTGCTTGCACCCAACACTTTCGACTCCGACTCCATTTCAAAACCGGCGGGTCCAGGCGGGTCCAGGCGGCTCAACCGCCTGTAAGACCGTTGCTAGGATACCAGCCGCAGCAGGCCCCGCCCTTGACGCAGGCCCCGCCCCACCTCGTGAGTCTAGGTCCACACTAAGTCACAGAAACTTTTATTGGAAACAAACCAGCTGCAGCAAAGTGACACTCAGTGCACGCTGCCCAATGGGCAAGGTGGGGGGTACAAGTGGGCAGATGACCCCTGGGACCACTTGCTGGGTCTCCGGCCCTTTAGGCTGGAGTGTGAAGGCCCAGGCCTGACCCCACACAAAATACAAAAATAAACTCTGCGGTCCAGCTGCCCCTGCCTGTGTCAGTTCGTGTGAGCAGGGCAGTGGCTCTTCCCACCAGGCCCTGTGCTGTCTAGTCCAGCCATAGTGTGGGCAGTAGCAGCCTGTGGGGGTGAGTGGACAGCCACAGGCTAGAGCCAAGGGCTAGGCAGGCATGGCCTGGGGTGGGCTGGTGCTGTGGCAGCGCCGGGACCTGGGCCCTCACGTGGGCAGGTCCAGGCACTGTTCGAAGCTGGGTGAAGCTAGGGCCTCTGTTTCTCCTCTTCACATACAGATCACCGGGACCCTGCACAAAGGGTGGCAAGCAGTGAGCTGAGGAGCCCACACCCAGGAGCCCAGGCATCGGCAGCCCAGCCCCGCCTCGCCCCAGGGCCGTGGAGGGAGGCTGCTGGGCGGCCCGCACCTGTCCTCCTCCACGGCGCCCGTCTCCTCGGGCCCACCCTCGCTGCCTCCACCTCCACTCTCTTCCTCCTCCTCTTCTTCCTCCCCGAGCTCCATGTCCAGCTCGTTGCCTGCCTCCGAGGGAGTGTAGGTGGATCCACTGAGGGGAGGGAAGACCAGTCTTAAAATCACTTGCCCTCAGCCTACTGCTGACTCCAGGGAGGATGTCCAAGAAGGAGAAAGTTAGGAATGGGGTGGGGAAAAGGTGTGTGGGCCAAACAGGGAGGTAGGGGAGGGAGGGAGACAACCTGTCAGCCAACCTGATAGAGCGGCAGCTGAAGAAAACAATCCGTTTCAGCCGCTTGTTGTAGAAGAAGTAGTTGAAGGACCAGAGGCTGCCATCTTCCCCGAAAGGATCTGAATCCAAGTCTGGGTTGTAGCTGGGGAGTGGGGGATGAGATATGGTGTGAAGTCCCAGTGTCACGGAGACCCAGGACCCCTGCCACGTGCAGGGACGTAGGCCCACCTGTAGATGTCACATTCAGCCAGGCAGATCTCCTCATCCACCGCGTTCCACAGTTGCGGCTTCAGGGCCTTGAAGTCCTCCCGAACGGCCGAGAACAGGCTGCAGTTGACTGCGTTCACCACCTAGGATGGTCACAGTCAGGGCTGACAAGGAGCCAGGAAGCAGGAATGAACCGGGCTGAGCACGCTAAGTTAGGTAGGACACCTGGGATGGCTGTGGGCCTGCAGGTCCCTTCCCCGACCCCACCCTCACCCAGCTAAGGCTGGGCTCCCGGCTGAACTCATGGCTGCGGGCTGTGCTGAAGTCGTAGTCCGGCCGGAAGGACTCATTGAGTGTGGCAATCAGGTAGAAGAGGGTCTTGCGGCTGCACTTGTCGCTGAGGGGACCTTCATCCTCGCCACCTTGGCTCTTACTCAATCTGCACAGAGACAAGTGTCAGCCCAGTGCTGGCCCACTCGCCAGTCCCCCGTAGGCAGGCCCTGCCCCTGCTCACCTGCTGGGGCTGAGGCCCGAGGTCTGGGGTGGGGACAGTGCCTCCAGCACATGTGGCTGGCCCTCCTGGCAGAACTGCTTGAACATGTGCTTGTCGTCACCTGCCATCTTACACGAGTAGCTCTCAATCCTAGAGACGCAGGCAGGACTGTGGAGCATGCCACCTCCCAAGCTCAACCAGAACCAGTGCAGAGTGGCCTCCAAGAGGCCAGCCCCCAGAGCCACAACCTCACCTGCCAATGATGTGTGCATCTCCCGTCTCCACGGTCAGCTGCGAGTTGATGGCCTCGAAGCTGGAGTTCTCCAGCAGCTTCATGTCCTCGGGGAGGGGTCTGTGCTCCAGGGGCTAGTGCTGCCTGAGGAGGACCAAGATCAGTCCATGGGAATCTGGCCCGTGGGGTTCCACTTTCAGCCCTCCTCGCAGTAAGAGGCGCTGCTGTGAACAACTCGGGCCCCTCCTGAAACCTGCTTCCAGCCCTTCAGCACTGGCAGGTGAGACGGTAAGATCGGCAAGTCTAAGCCCAGCTCAGCTACACCTCCTGAACCTCACAGGAGTTCTTCGGCCAGGATGGGGGACCCACTGGGGATCCTGCTAACCCCGGGGACGCTCGGTTAGTCTCTCCCTAAACACTCTCTATCCCACCGAGGAGGGCCCTGGGAGTCCGCGAAGGGGCGTGACTCCTGCAGTTCCCCTCCGGCCAGAGTGAAAACCCGCTCCCGGCAAGGAACCAGGACGTCTGAGGCTCGGCTCTGCCGTCACCTGGACGCGGCGCTCTTCCCTGTTCTACAGACGGCTTTTTAGTGAAGGAGACAGGAAACCCATGAGCTCCTCCGGTTTCCTTCAAAAGTATGAGAGAGGGCGGAGAGAGGCCCCGAGGCTCCCGGAGTGTCGGCCACACAGGCCGCTAGGGCGCTCCAGCGTCCGCCGGGTCCCGGGGAAAACCCCAACCCGGGCGCAGGAACTACGCGTCCCAGGCGGCCGTGCGCCCCGGGGTGCGCGCATGCGCGCCGGCGCGAAGCCCACTGGGCACTGTAGTCCGCACAGCCCGGGTCGCCGCCGGGCACAGGGCGTACACCTACCTGCTTGCGCCGCGCTCAATCGAGCCGGGGCAGACTCGGCAGGGTCAGGTCGATGGGCGTGGTGGGCGTGGATGGGCTGAGAAGGCGGGGTGGGCCTCGCACGGCGCGGGCTCCTCAAGAACGGGCGGAGGCACCGCGGCCTCCGCTCGGGCCGCACTGTATCCGGGGGAAGAAGCTCCGAGGCGACGTCCCGTTACTCCCGGCCCTGCCGGCCCCGGCGGGCTGCCACCGCGACATAGCCTCGCCCCTGCACGGTGCCCTACTATCGCGACCGACCTGTCCGCCGACCGCCACAGAGGGCCCGAGCAAGCGAGCAAACGACCTCTGCCTCCCGGAGCCGGACAACAACAAGCGTCTGCCAGGCCCGGCCCCACGCGTCTGAATGGCCCGCTCCAGCCGGTGGAACCGGGAGCTCGCACAGTCATTGGGGGCGGCATCCGCCGCTCAGTCCCGATGTCCGCTCCTACTGGGTATGGCTCCTGTCAGTCATTTTCTCGGCCGTGCGAACCCGCCTCCCACCCTAGCGCTCATTGGCCGAGGCCTTCGCGGCTCCGCCCCCAGTGGCTTCCCAGTTCCCTGGAGGGCCAGTGGACTAGTTGAGGTGTGGGTGGGGCGCGGCAACCGGGTGAGGGTTGGCAGGTGGGCTGCGGCCGAGAAGGGGCGACGGAGCCCCGTTCGGCTTGGGAGCCAGATGCTGGGTTCACAAGGACCGCCGAGCTCAGCCCCAATCCGAGTCTTTAGGGCCTTCCAGTCGTGGCCGGTGCTGGCGTCTCTGACGCTCTGCCTGGAGTACAGGCCTGCAAGCCCAGCCTCACCTGCTTGTGTCGGGAGACCTTCGGGCGAGGTGCCATCGTGGGCGAAGCGGGAGCGGCAGACGGCTACGACGCTCGGGCAGCGCCCGGAACCCCAGGCTCGTGGTTACAGTTTCCGGCCGGTGTAGGCGTTCAGCGACCCAAGTCCACGGAAGCGGGCTCGGGGGGGCAGTGCGGGGGCCGGACCGGAGATGGCGCCGCCGGCGGGCGGTTCGGCCGCGGGTTCGGACTCCGGTTCGGCCGCAGTGCTGCTGGCCGTGCATGCCGCGGTGAGGCCGCTGGGCGCCGGCCTGGACGTGGAGGCCCAGCTGCGGAGGCTGCAGCTGAGTGCGGACCCCGAGCGACCAGGGCGCTTCCGGCTGGAGATGTTGGGCGCGGGCCCCGGGGCGGTGAGTGGGGCCGGCGGGGGTGCGCGTCCTGGCCGCTGAGCCTGAAGCCACACTCTTCCGTTTGCTAGACGCGTGCCGTTATCTTTTCCTTGCTTCTGTTTCCTTGTTTGTAAAATGGGGATGATGCTAGCACTTCCCTTTGTAGGATTACTGTGAGGGTTTCATAAGTAACACGAGTAAAAGGCTTAGGACGTTGTAAGTAATCGACAAACGTTACCTCGTATTCCTTTGATTATCATGCAGTATGTGCTGGGGAACGCACTGAGCCTGGACTCTCCCTCTCCTCAGGTCAGTTTGGAGTGGCCCTTGGAGTCAGTCTCCTACACAGTCCGAGGCCCCTGCCAGCATGAGCTGCAGCCTCCACCGGGAGGGCCTGGTACTCTCAACCTGCACTTCGCCAACCCTCAGGAAGCTCAGCGGTGGGCAGCCCTAGTCCGAGATGCTACCATGGAAGGACAGAATGGTCAGTGCCCTGGAGTGAAGATTCACCAGGCCAGGGCCAGTGTTTGTTCTGCAAGAGGGCAGGAGTAGCCTCAACCCCCCAGGCTTGGATGGGGGGAGTAGTGGAGAAAGCTGAGCCCCTCTTGCCCACTACTGGGGTTCTAGGAGCACTCCCAGGAGTGAGGAAGTAGAGAAAAGGAACAGAGACCGAATGGCTGGAGCCTGCAGTGCCAGACAGGTGTGGAGGGGCAGCATACGCAGGCCCTCAGGACTGGGGTGAGAAGACAGACTTTCAGAAGCGTGGAAGATAGTGGAAGAGTGACAGGCTCAGATTCAAGCTTCTGAAGACTGGTGAACCCTTGCATTTGTATGGGTGATGCAGACAGGGCTGGAGGGAGGAAGGATGTTTCCAGAGATGCTTAGGAGAGGAATTGGCTGGATTTCTTGGAGGTTTGAATGCAAAAGTTAATGGTTGAGAAGCTGGAAGGAACAGACACTGCAGAGGGCCTGTTTGGAAGGGCAAAGAAGTGGTCAGGTTCTTAAAACACGTAGGAGGGAAAGGAGGTAGGAGGAGCTGGGGTTCTGAAGAGGAAAAGTTGGGGGTAGAAAAGGTCAACCAAGGTCACTAGG